TCCCGGGGCAGAGCCCCCCCTCCCCTCGGTGCCCGCTCCTCTCACCTGAGGCGAACCCTGTCCCCGTGCCCCTCTCCAGGCTGCACCTTGAGCCTGAGCTTCGGCGAGCCGAGGCTGAGGGGAACTGGAAATGGCATTTGAAGAAGCGACTGTGTTGCTGGGGCTCCCCTTGCTCGGGAGCAGCCTCCTCCCTTGGGAGACAGGCACCCGAGCGCTGAGGGGCTCTGAATTCGCAGGCTGCTAGAGCACTTGCAAGATGCTGCGGTGGGAGACGTAGGCAAAGAAAGCAGTTCTCTGGCAAACGTGGGTTTTTTAATTTTAAAGCCTTTTAAAAGACGTGATAAGAATAAGTAGGAAAAGTACAGTATAATAGCCCGCCTTAATACAACAGGAGGCAGCGAGCCACCAAGTAACAGCATAAAGTAAAATGTGGAGCCTTTACTGCTCGTGCGACTTGAGAACAGGGGCAACCACTTTCTTCTCGTGTTTAGTCCAAGGTGGCTTTTCTGCTTCATTCAGTAGTTGGAAGAGTAGAAGTTCTAATTGCCCGAATAGTTGGATTTTTTCTTTCATATTTACAAGTGTGCAGGGGAAGAGTTTCATCTTTCTTCCAAAAAAACGGAAGTATAGAATTGAATGTAAGCATCTTGTGTGGGAATGTTACTTGTTTTCCCTTCAGCCTGTTCAAAGAAGTGATTTTTGAAGAGACTTTGCATTATATTAAATAAAATTATCATGCTAACTTGTCTGATGAATCAGATCCACGTGAGAAATATGCTTAGCTACAACAGCAATAAATATGGCATAAATAATGCTACTACAGTGTTCTCCCTTTTCAGTTTAGAGGGTGAAAAAAAATGAGGTTTTCCTCTACAAATGCTATTGGTTTTGTAGGTGTCATACATTTTTGCTTAGAATCTAATTCTTGTTGATGTCTAAATTGCGCTTTTTTAGTGGTTATAGAGTTCAGCTCTTTGTTGTAAGCAAAACTTCATTAGATTCAGTATGTCCTGTGTATATTGCTGTATTTCTACTGGTGAGCAATACTGTGACTCATCTTTAATCAGAAAAATGCCATTAGAGCTCACATTGCAGGTGTAAACTGGGGCCTGTTTCCTTTGGGAGCTGAAACAAATTGTGAAAATGTTCTTCATATTCTAAACTCAATTTTGCAATTTAATGTTTAAAATTCATCTTAGCATTTTATTTCATTGTAGGTAATTTAAGTGACTTTCTAGCATGGACACTGTTGCTAGCCATAGTTGTCATCTTCTCCAGCAGCTACATGAACAGCGCATTCAGGGTCTTCTCTGTGACTGCATGCTGGTGGTAAAAGGTGTCTGCTTCAAAGCACACAAAAATGTATTAGCTGCTTTCAGTCAATATTTCAGGTATGTGATGGAAAATTCTGCTATTAAAAAGTGAACTAAATGGTGTTGGTGAGGTTTGCTCTGGGAAGGGTATTTTTTTCTGGTTGTCGCAGACTAAACAACTGTTGGAGTGTAAGGGGAAAAGTTAAATTGTTTGTGCAGGGATAAATCTGATTGAGGTATTTAATCTAATTAAACACTGTGGCCATCATAATTTATTTTCTAGATATACATAGCTAACTACTGCACTATTTGAGTTTGACATTTTCTTGATCCTTACTTGCTCACGGTGCCTCATATAATGGATTCTGGCACGGGCCTGCATTCAGAATTTTAGTATGAAAAGATAACTGTTTACAAGAGCATAGTAGAGTACGTGAACAGAGCCATTATCCATTTCCAGATAATGTGAATTGTTTTGTCAATTATATATTCAAAATAAAATTGGACAATATAAGTTATTATCGAATCTCTATTTAGAACAGATTTTCAGAGACAACATCTGTGTTTTAAAGTATACAGGTGGCCGTGAAGCCACATCTCTTGTTTTTTCCCCACTGTATAGCCCTCCTTGATACTCCAAATTTTGGGGGATGATGGATCTCCCAACTTAGTGTTTTACGTCAGTTATGAGTAAGCTGTTAGATCTGGCAGTTTTTAGACCTTGTTTCTTGAAACTTCTCTAAAGCTTGACTACCAATTCTTATGTAAGAAAATTATTTTTATGTTATGACCAGCAAAAAAAGATGAGAGGTTGTTTTTCCGTTTTATCTTCTGGTGTTGTAATCCTGATGGTGAAGTGAAATGATGCTCAAAGATTGAATTTTTGAAGTAGTTAAAAAGAAATAAGTGCTCAACTTTTATTAAAATTCAATATGATATAAGTGACTAATTCATTTAGACTCTCAACCCAGATCTGTTCATTATAGTTCTGGTTTTAACGTAGATAGTGTGGCCTGGATTTACAAAAGAATTTGGATGTGGGCACTGGCTTCAGAGCAGCATGTAAGTATGAGGATAGGACACCTTAGGTATGGAGATCCATCTGAAACTCTGCATTCCTAAAGTTTAAGCTTAGACTCATTCATTTGAGATTCAGAGCTCATTGATGTTATACCCACCTTTAAACAAAACCTAATGCGAGAGTTAATCCACGGAGAGGAATCATCAAGTTCAGGGCATTTCCTAGTGTAGGAAGATAGCCACACAGGAGTGACCTGGCCCCATTTATATATCATCATTTACTGTGAGAGCATCAGGTTAGAGACTGGGGGTTTTAATGGAAGGGTGTGAAGTTCCTGACTGAAGCAGAGTATGAACCTGCTTAATCTGGGACTGGTTATGGATGTGAAGAACTACAGCTCTAACACTAAGAATACTTTACAACAGATAGTAAGAAGTCGTGTGAATTCAGGCACTGTAAGGATTCAATGGCAGTTCAGTGGGTATTGGTTGGACTGCTGTTTTAGGCTCATGTGCCTGTACTCTTCATTATTCTTTTACTTGGTTCTCATCCAGTACCAGCTAAAAAAATAGGGGCTTTTGGATATGAGAATAGATTGAAAATAATGCCATCCTCTCATCTACTTGCAGAGAAAGAACTAGTCGTAAGAACTTCAGTGTTTGATGGACAATCTCTGTTGACAGAAGAGAATAGTTTAGCTGACTTTGAGGTCTTTCTTCTCCTTTTTACTAGAAAATTTCTCATGACCTATTTATTTGCCATGGTGGAAGTAGAAACACCATTCTGAGTCAACCAACTTTTTGCAAATAAATACACCACTGCACCTCATATGTAAAGAACATTGGATAGGAAACCACAAGTATAGGGTGTGATTTCAAAACATTAATAAATAGAAAATTACAGTTATATAAAGGATCATTTGCTTTCATTTATACTTTAAGTGTACTAGTGTAGGACTAATATATGACAAGTAGTTGAGCGGTTTTGAGACGTTCATCTGCAAAAACACAGCAGTCTAGATAACCATATAGTGTAAATTGTTGTTTCCTACCAGGCAGTCTTTTTGAGGTGTATGTATATTTTTTATAAAAGTGTTGGTGAATTATTTGTGTTTGTATTTGAATATTTGCCTTATTTTATCAGGACCCTTTTCCAGAATTCTTCAGGCCAGAAGAATGATGTTTTTCACTTGGACATTAAAAATGTAGGTGGGATAGGCCAGATCTTGGATTTCATGTACACCTCTCACCTGGATCTTAGCCAGGACAATGTACAAGCTATGTTGGATATTGCACAGTGTCTCCAAGTACAAAATGTGCTGAACATTTGCCACACCTTTTTAAAATCTTCTACAGCTGTAGAGCAAACAGCCAGCATGCCTTGTAATAGCGTATTTTCGCTGCAGAATACTTTGACTGCAGATACTAGCTGTGCTAATGACAGTTACGGAGCAAACCTATTGCACGAAGGCTCAACTGACACACAAGCTAATAAAGTCTTGGCTGACCACCATTCCCATGCATCGCAGTCTGTTAATCTTCGTGCACCCTCAGGTGATGTACAGAAGCAACCACAGGACTCCTTAGATGGCAACTGCACAGAACTTCCATTTAAACAACCGAATTACTATTATAAACTACGCAACTTTTACAGTAAACAGTTCTATAAGCAAAATGCTTGCTCTAATCATGAGAGAGTAGAACAATCCTTTTCTTACAAC